GCGAGCTCCTGAGGGACCGCTGAACCTATCTTCGTCGACACTCCAGAGTCAGAGGATTCTGGAAAGAGTGAGCGCTGCTGCTTGAGGTACTCTGAAGACACCACAGAGCGAACAGCTTCCAGAACACGCGCCACAGCGAGAAACCCGCCCAATTGGGCGGTCTCGCGGGGTTTTGATGCGGTCCTCTTCCGCCACCTACCGACAACATAGGCTCATTGCAGTTTCCAAATACGCGTAGACTCCCTGTTTGGTGGACCAATGCAGGAAAATGAAACTTACTCAAGGCAGTTGGTCTCTGCTAATCCCAAACTCCCAGTTGTAAATCACCTATGCTTCAATTAAAAAAAAAGAACAGGGAAAGGGTATAGCTCAAGTGGTAGAGCCCGTGCTTAGCATGCACGGGGTCCTGGGTTCAAGCCCCAGTACATCCTCAATAAATAGACAAACCTAATTACCTCCCCCAGTAAAACAAACAAACAAAAAAACTACTCAAGACACGTGTTTCTGTCTTCAAATTGATATCGATTTATTCAGTCCTTAAGGAAAATATATATTCTTAAAATCTATATGGCCTATTTTACTGCGTAAATTAGCTCTGATTTTCAGATGCTAAAATAATAATAAACGCGCATAACAGGCAGAGTTTTGAAATCTTTCTTACAGTCGGTTAATGCTTTAGAATACATAAAGTTTTTGTGTATATTTTGGTTTTTTTTTTCAAGTCTATTTTATTTTGGTACGAAGTATTTCACTTTAAAACACAATTTTAATTTTTATCCAGGGTAATGTGTACAAATATTTTAGAAATGAAAGAATACTGAAAGATATATTTAAAACAACATTCTTCTGTCACATCAAAGAGAGTAACTGAAGATGTGGAGGTACTGGGGATTGAACCCACGACCCTGTACATGCTAGGCACATGCTCTACCCAACCCCCTTTGGGTTATTTTTTGTTGTTGTTGCTGCCTTTCAGGAAAAAAATGATCACCCTAAAGGTAATGAAAGAATTTTTAGAATAGAAATAGTAGATGAGTAAGATTTGCAATCAAGAGTGTGTCCTGTCTTGCAGAATGAACATTATGGAGTTCCGTGGGGAACCAGCAAGTATAGCATGTGAGATTGTCCATATGTCCCAGGGACCTGTGCATTCACTGGAAGATTGAGAAGATGCTGTCAAAAGCCCAATTGTTCATATCCTTCAATTCAGTAATTCAACTTCCAGAATTCTATTCCAAGGAAAAAATCCAAAAACATGAGAAAAGTAATATGGATGATATTCTTCATAAGATTGTTTAATGTTCAACAACAGAAGAATTCGTTATTGTTTATTCAGAATATGGAATATTGCAGAGACATGAAAATTAATTTGGGGGTGTTTTTGTTTGTTTGTTTTTTTCAAAATTATTTTAACATATAGCCATGCAAAAAATATGCATCCTCATGAAGATATAAAATAGTAAGTACAAATAGGAATATTAAATAAAACTGGAAAAGAATATTAAAACTATTAAAACTGAGTTAGAGGATTCTGCTTGTGTCTTGTACTTGGGAGACTGGAATGAAATGTCACCCAGAAACCTGTGCTTCAGCTAGTATTAATGTGTAGATACCACTCTTGTGGCTGTTAACTGCAAATTTAGCTTGAATTAAGGGTTTGGGGAGACCATTTAACTTAATTACTGCCAGTTTTGAGATGTCTATGTGAGTGTGTTTGGCACAGATGCAACAATGTGGAAGGCTAGGAAATGGATCACACTCATCTGTGTTCCTATGGAAACTATTTGAATATTTGTTTTATGTGGAGTTTTATTCACTTTTCCAACACGCTACTAAAGAGTGTCCCTCAACTGCTGAGCAAGCGTTTGTAGCTTGTGCATTGGCAGAATGAGCCAGAAGCTTAGGGTTGTGATCTATTTTTATTTTTTTTAATGAAGTATCTTGAAATTTAAAAAAAAACTGAGTTAAAGATGGATTTAGAATCTACAATGCTATGTATACTAATATTTCTGTTTCCCTAATTACATGATAAATACAGGAATGCTTTCTTGTTGTTAATGCATTTAAATTATGCAGAAAGTATATTAATTAAGAAGTGGAGGATCCTGTTATCTGCCTGCTCCTAGCCTTCCTGCTCTCTTTACTACATAGATGTATGGGGGAGGGTATAGCTCAGCAGTAGAATGTGCGCTTGGCATGCATGAGGTCCCGGATTCAGTCCCCAGCATGTCCATTAAAATATATGTATATAAACCTAATTACTTCCCCCTCAAAATAAAGTCAACAATGACACATTAAAAAAATTAAAACCACCAATTAAAATAATAGATTGATGTAAGCTCTCCAGATCTTCCTTGGAGTTACACACAGAACTATACATGTACACACTAATATATGTAGTGTCATTTGTAACAAAAAAGCCATAATATTGTATTTCTTGAAACATGATTCTTTTAAAAAATCTGCCTATTTGCATTATATATATTTACCTCATTGTTTTAACCACTATTAAATGGGATCTACTCTAATATGTTCAATTATTTCACAATTGATAGATACTTGTTTCTTCTCATTTTTAAAATGATAAATAATTTTGCAGATAAGCCCTCCTGTATGCTATGTTAATGAATTTAAGATTCTTTTCATTTATTCATTGGCCTTTTGTATTTCCTTAGAGAATTTCCTATTCATATCTCTTGCAAAGTTTTCTATTTCAATGTTTGCATTTTTATAATTTATTTGTAGGAGCTCTTTATGAATTTTAGATTTTTATTATGATTTCACTGAATTTAGAGATGGGTATAACATAAAATATTTCCATGCAGAGCATAATATGCCTCCCCATTTGTTCTAGTTTTCTTTTATATCCCCTAACTAAATGTTACTGTCTTCTGTACACCTTGCACACTTCTTGTTAGAATTTATACTACATAAGCCATTTTCAATGGCTATTTACATTACTGAAATAATTTTTAATTGAAACAATTACCAGGACCAGTTGAAATCATAGCTGTTTCTTAAAGCTATAATGATCTGTCGAATAACTCAAAGAATTATAATTATTAGCCTAATTTGCTTGTGTACAAGGGAAATCAATCAATAGATTGATTTCATTTCCTCTT